GTTGTTATTATAAAATTGAAGATTAGTACTGTTAGCAATTTTGGTTTTAGTAATACAAGAGATATGGATATTATTGTAAAAACAATAATTTTGCCAAGCTTCTCTTTTAGTTACTGTATTATAATCTCTAATATTGTATGTACAAATATTTAAATGAAGGTTATGTAAAGTTTGTGTAGATGTGGATACTTGTGATGTTGTATGACTATTAAGAAATAAATTAGAATAAAAGTAGAATTAGAGGAATTTGATCTGAGAAGAAGATTGTAAAAGATAGAAAAAAGATAAAGATGGATAACAATATAATTAGATAAGAGAAAGTCATTTGAGAAATATATATGAGTTTCATCATATATATTGCTAACAGAGAAAGTGATACTAGAGACAGTGTTATTATAGTTATATTTGTTAATATGTTGTAAAAAAGATTAAATAGTTTGACAATGAAAAAGAAGTAGTAAGTTGTAATAAAGAAGAAATTTGTTGAAACATGTATAAAGATCATAGAAGCTTAAATATGTTGAGAATGATTTTCTGAGATTGTCTTCTACAGGGTCGATCACTATATGCTCGGCTCTTACTGCTATGCAAGGTACCAAAGTCTGCCTCATGCATTGGGTCTGACTGTCATTATCTTGGCTTTTCACATAAATAGGCTTTACTATCTGCCAACTTATTTCATTTTTCCTATTAACTACTGTAGATATATTATTTAATAGGATGGTGGCTACATCTATAGATTTTGTAAAAGACAATTTTATTGAAAAAGAGCCTGTTCTTCTTGTTTTAAAAAGAGTGACTCTGTAATAGATATAGGTATCTCAAATTTAATGTTGAATTTTTCATATAGAATAGCTTCAGCTTCTGTTAATGCTTTTTCTTTATAAAATTTGGTTATTGCAGAATAGTTAAAAGATTCATTATGAGTACAGTCAAAGTATGTAATAACACATGCAAAAAAGTCAGTATTAATAAGTTTAGGTATAAGAAAGTTGATAACCTGTTGTTTGTCTATTTTGTCAATATTGTGATTTTCTGCAGCAGTATTTTGGTAGATAGTTAGGTATTGGTAAAAATAGAAGGCTTGTCATTTTGGATTAGTTTTGATAGAGTTAGCAGAGCAAATATACTCTTCAGCCTTTGCTGCCAGTTTGTCTAAAACAGTAGTAGGAATTTGTTTAGTAAATATAGCTTCATGTTTATCTTTAATATAGAATATTGAAGCATTAAGAAAGAGTTTATTTTAAGCTTCAATTTCTTTTGAATAGGTATTATATAATGTATCAAATATATTTCTAATAAGTTTAGTTGAATTATGTATAAGTTGTAACTTAAGATTTGTTTTTTGAGTATTATTAGATTTTTTTTCAGTTTCAGGTTCTTTTTCTTTATCAGATTTCTTTTTCTTTTCTTTATCTTTAGTTATAACTAGTTCAAAATAAGAGCACTTAGGATTTGTGTAGGTAAGTATATGATGATTGGCATATCTAAAGGTTTCATTATGTTTTTCATGAAGACTAGTTTGGTTTTTTGAACTCGATTGTAGTTGGTAGAAGTTTTTTAAGGTGAATAATAAAATATTGTCTAAATTCATACTTAAGATAGTATTGAACTTTGGTTTTGTTAATAGTATTAGAGAATTAATAACTGTATATAGGAAAGATTTTTTCAAACCATTCATTGAAGTGGTCAAGTGATTTTTTTAAGGATGATATATTATATTTTTGAAGGAATAAAGTTTTAGAAAAGTTGAAATTAAGTTTAATATTAAATCGATTGTCCATTTTAATAAAGAGAAATTGGTGTTGTTTATTAACTTCAATAACCTCAGATATAATATTAAATCTTTTAGGTCTAAGTTTAATATCTTCTGCAAATTTGGTATAGTTAATTGCTTGATAATTATCGAAGAGGTATAAGTGAAATTGATGCAATATTGTAAATAATTATGGGTTTGAATAGGTGGAATAGTGGCAGATGAACTGAATATTTTAAGATAATTAAGTTTAATAAAGAGGATTATTATAAATATAAGAATAAGTTTTTTGAATGTTTTTTCAAGAATACTGAATAGTATTATAGCAGCTTTATCATTATCAACATTGTGTTTTTGGATTAAGTCAGTGAGAAATTAAGGTTTAGTACCAGTCATTTGCCTAATTAATAGGTAAAAGCTTGCTTTAAATACATCTTGATTTCTGATTTCTTCTTTAATAACTTTACTAGGATAGAAGTTATGAAGGTGTTCTTTAAGAAAATTAAAGAGTTTTCATGATACTTCTGTTTGTAGTTTTGTATAGTTTTGCATTTTTTCAGTAACTGAGAAATTTGCTAAAAAGTCATATGATGGGTTAAGTTTGAGTCTTGTTGCTTGGCTATAAGACTAAGCCAGTTGAGGTTGTTAAATTGGTTTTTTGTTAAGTTGTTGTTTGTTTAGTAATAGTGAAGCTTAATATAAAGGTTGTTGTTGTTGTTATTGTGTTTATTGAGTTTGTAATTCTTAAGGTTTTGGTAGTGTAATGAAGCTGTTGATATCTATGTTATTGTTAGTACTAGTTGTTTCTTCAAGGTTAGATAAAGTAAATAATAGTTCTGAAGTGAGAGAGTTGTTTTGTTATTGATCAAGTGAAGAGATAGTAAGTTGTTGGGTTAAAGACTTATGTTGTGAAGATGAACCTTGTTCTGGATTTTCAGTTGGTTGAGATTTGGGTTGATTAGCTAAGCTAATTTTTTTATAGATTTCAGCTAAGCAATTGTTGTAATATGCTATGTTTTGATAGAAAATAGATTTATTTTGTAATGTATGATTATTGTTAATCACTTTGCAGTTAATTAAAATTTGATATTCAGAACAAATGTATGTGTGAATAGTGATGATAGGAAATGATAGAACATTAGATGTTGATTTCTTAAATATTTGTTGAAGTTTTTTAGCTTGTTTATTGATTGTTATTTCATTAGTTTGGGTGTTAAGTTCATATGTTTTATTGTTTTCTGCAATGAATTAAGTATTAAATAATCCACACATACACTTGACTGTTGCAGTTATTGCAGAAGCAGAAATGATATAGGTTGCTAAATGAGTTCTAAGTTCCATAGTAATACATTTGGTAGGCCTGTATTTGTCTAAAATAGCTTGTACTTGTCTGGTTCCTTTTCATAAATAGTGATACTATAGGAATTTACATGATTCTTAAAGAAATAATCAAGATTTAAGGTATTTGGTACTTTTGTGCTAAAAGTAGGCATAGTGCTATGAGTTTACTTAGAAGTCTGAGTTTAGATTACTTAGTAAAATTTTTTGTAATCTTTAATTAAAGATTTTTAGAGGTTTAATTGTAATATAAAATTAATTGCAGGATATAATTTGTATTTGCAGTGATTTAACTATAATTACTGCAACTGCTGTGGCTTGTGTACCCTTGTATAATCTAGGTAACACAATTTTGTGGCTGGTGTGGCTAGTGTGGATAATGTAGTACAAATTTATAAATAGTTAGGTATTACAGTAACTATTGTGTAATTGAGTGCAAAATTTATTTTTAGCAAGTTAGTACAAAATAATTTATAACAAATAAATTTCTTTTTTGGATAAATTTAATTTACACAATATGAAATTAATAAAACCAATTTTAGAAATGATTTAAGGTTACATGAAAAATGTTTTAGAAAAAAAATTTGAGAGTAAGAGCAAAGAAATAAAAAAAAAAAAAAAAAAAAACTACAGAGAAGTTAAAGTTGTTTTATATTATAATTCCATCAATTTTAGGCCTATAATAGGGTGGTTGGCAAGACTATTTTGGCTCTTGCTTGCCTTGCCAAATTTTTAATAGCTTGCCAATATAATAGGCAAGTAATGGCAAGATGGCAAGCTTTTTTATTATTTTAAATCAAAATAATTAATAAAATTATAATAATTTATAGATTTAACTTTATATAAAATTTAATTTTATTCTTTTTTTTAACAAATAATTTGTGATTCTAGATTTAAAATATCTAATAGCAAAGTATATATTAATTGTCTAGAGCATAGCGGAGAACATTTAGTGTTTAGTCATAGTAATACAAAAGTTGTGTTTTTGATGCATCAATAGTTATTTTTTTGACTAAATTTATATTAATACATCAAAAACATAATTTTGAAAATTCTTGGTTGTCTGCATGTGTGTCTATATTTGTACTTTAATGTAATAAAAAACATGCAATTATGCATTTATGCAATATGATTATCATGTGCTCTGAATACACAATACTACGTATTAACCTAGTTAGTAATAATTATTTATATTATTTTTTAATATTTAAAGAGTATTATTCAATCTAAGTTAGCATTTTTAAATAATATTTAGAGTACTATATGCAAGTTTTATTAGCAAAAAAGCTATATAGTTTGTTTTTAATTTATTTAAAATATACTAATTTAATTTAAGACTAAATTAAAATTATTATAAATTACTATTTTTAATAACAAACAAGTATATTTTATTTAATATATAATAATATTTGTTTAATTAATAAAAAAAAAAATCAAAAAAATAATATATAAAAACAAAATAATAAAATTTTTTATATTAATAATTATTTATAATTGCATTTATATCCTAGTCGCTATCATTATTTTCTTTATCAATAACTAAACTTTCATCTATAAAATTAGTTTGTATAGTTTGATTATAAAAAATAGGATCATTAATATCAATGAATTGCTCAATTACAAACTTTGGTGCCAAATTTGTAAAATCTTCAAGTTCAGTTTGTTCTTCTTCAAAAAAGGTTTCTAATTCATATTTTAATTCTGTAGAATTTAAAGAATTATTAATATTATTATCCCAATCATTAATATCATCATTTTCTTTTAATTCTGAATCTTCGACATTTATTTCATTATCTTGTTTTGAATTTTTAATTTGAATTTCATTATCTTCATTTTGTTTTAAGCAAGTTTTAACTTGACCTATAATTTTTAATGTACTAGTTTTTATATTATTATGGTATTTTGTATTATGATATCCAAGAGTTGAAAAACATCTTTCTGTTTCAGCAGCATGAGGAACAAGAGCAAGAATACATTTAACAAATATAACAAGAGCAGCATATTTTGGACTTGAAATATGTTTCCAATATGTATATAGATTATCTATTAGAATTCCCTTATCTAAGCTAAAGTCTTCAATAAAATTTAAATAATCGGCCATTTCATTTTTTATATCTAATGCTAATTGTTTATTCCAATTCCAATTTTTTACTAATTTAATTGCAATATTTTGTATATCTCATAATGATTTTTTTGAAATTGCAAATTTTCGAGCTTTAGAATAACAAAACAATACTAATGTGCAAAGATCTAAATCAAGTTCCATAAATCGCTTATTATAAACTTAGCACACATAGAGCTTAAGATTATCATAATTATTAATATTATTAAATAAAGAAATTAAATCTTTTCCTAAATAAATTAAAGATAAATATGCATCTGCTAATGTTACATTTGCAAATTCTAAATTTTTAATAGTATTATTAACTGGTTCTAGTATTTTCATTATAATTTCATTATCTTTCCAATGATTTTTATTCTCAATAATTCGAATTATTTTATGATCTAATTCAATTTTTGGTTGTCTAGCTTCATTATGATTAAGAAGTTGGCGAAACCCAGATTTATGAAGAAATATTGATTTTACATTATTATATGCAGAATACCAGTGAATATTAGTCCATGTTACCAATCCATGATTAATATTCACTTGTGAATGACGCCAATTTTCTAGACATTTAAACTGAATATGTGATGTCTTAAAAAAGGATGTTAATTTATTATTTTTTATCATAACTTCTCTAGTGGTAGGATATGAAAGAATTCCTTTGCATATAAGATTTATTAAGTGTAATATACATCCAAGACTAGTAATTCAAGAATATCTTGTTAAAAAAAATTTTAGATTAAAAAAATTATATAATATATATTAATATTAAAATTAAATAATTTAAAATTTACCTTTC